ATTGTTCCAAATACTCATTGTTCGCTCCATGAAAGGCTAATGCTGTCCATCCTTGTTTGTCAGGCTTGGCTAGAACTTGTTGTGGCAGTGGACTTCAAAAGTGAGGGGCGTGTACCACTTTTGAACACAACCATAAAATCACTTGATGGCTCCGTTAACCTCTGTGTTGAGGTCAGCACTGCCCAGCTCTTCAGACAGCTGCCCCTCCACCCGGGGCCGGAACTGCAGCTGACCACCAAAGATGGTAGGGGAGCTCTGCTGCTGTCAGCTGTGGCTGTCTTAGAGGAAGCTACCATAATACAGGATAGTTCAGTGAACTTTCCAGGGAAGAACAGTCAGGACAACATGACAGCTGGGGAGGGAAGGATTTGTTTCTCCGTGTAAGGCCTGGGGATGTTGACAGACAGAGGTGAATATTGGAGAAAAATTAAAATGACTAAATGAGAGAGGAGGACGGCAGTGGGCAAGGTCCCTTGGGCTGGGGAACGGTCAGTGATCAATAGGCAGGCAAAGGTTTAGAAGGCTGCAATGGACACGGACCCAAGGGAGATAACTGAAAAAAAAAAAAACAAAAAACCTGAGCCTAAAAGAGGAAACTAAAGCATGTAGGAGAAACACACTCCTGGTTTTATGAGGTTACAGGTGAGAACAGCTGCTGGCGCTGAAAGATAGGCATGGGGGAAGAAGTCACTGGAACAGAAGAGCCAGGAGGCAGAACCTAAGTGGTGGCAGTGTTTCCTTCCCTGATAGTTACTGGTGCTTCGGACCCAGCTGCCAGCCAATAATCACAAAAGTTCATTATAAGTAATATTGGTTTTGTATCTACGTAATGGAAATTGAAGAAGTCTAGATTGTTAGCAGCCCAAATCTATAAAGTTCATCTGGCCTTATGATATTTTTCAACAATATTTTCAGGAAATGATTTCAGGAAATAGTCTCAACACTGAAAGTTATTTTCCTAGGTAACATACACTAACTTGTCCTGAATCGTTAAAAAATTAGATTTGATAGGATAGGTTACACTTCCTGGTATATTTAATTTCCCACATTTTCATAAATTAAGTGTTAACGATATGCTGTATGAGCAATTTAAAGCAAATAAGTTATTTGGAAATGGTTATAATTTAAACTAGATTTGATCACATGGTTTACAGTTTTGTCAATTGTACCAAATTAGTGACTCATCTGAACTATTTAGATCTTGAGTTTCAGATTCATTTAAACTTATAGTTAGGGGCTCCAGGATATAGTTCAGTGGCACAGAGCCTGCCTGGTGAGTGCAAGGTCCTGAGTTCACTCGATTCCTGGTACTAAAACAAATAAACAAAATATTAACTTGTAGTTACACTTAGATTATTATTTTTCCTTATGCGGGGCATTGTGCATGTTACTTTTCTCCAAATTCTTCCACACAATGAAAATACAATGCAATATAATCTAATTTGTCCTGTAGTCACCTTGGTAAAGAGAGGTTCTAAGCCATTTGGAGCAGTGGTTGGACGAAGTCTCCTCCTTCTCCACGTTTCTGATCTGCTTTCCCGTATGAGCTTGCCATCTTGAGGAGGAGGTGGTGGAGGGATGGGTATCATGCAACCCTCAAGGTTTGGGAGTTGGTATGCATCCATTCTCTGTGATTTGTCTGTGGAGTTCCTGAACCTCCTCATTGCCTTCTTGCCCTGTAATCACATTCAGTGATGTAAGAACCACCGGAGCTGTGGCAGGGACCCAGCGTAAGCCAGCCTTGGGTAAGACAAGCACACATGACAGGCAGGACATTGCAACAGGTACGACTGACAGCCACAGACAAAGCCAGAGCACTCCGGCCTGCTGAGAAACAGCCATAGAAAATGGAGGGAGTTGGCGACGTAGCTCAGCAGACTTAGGCAAGCGCAGGGGCCAGTGTGCAATCCCCAGCGCCGTGTGCATGCCAGCGCCGCCCCCAGGGCATGCTGAACAAGCCACAGAGTCCAGGCCTAGTGGGGCGCGCCTCTAGTCCCAGCACTGGGGAGGCTGAAAACAGGAGGATCACTTAAGTCCGAGCTGCATAGTGAGACCTTATAATGACAAAATGCATATTTAAAAAAGAAAAGAAAATGGAATATTCACAAATTTCTAACTTTATGCAATATACTCCTAGCCTATGTATAGTAATGATACTTTGAGAGTAGTTGGAGGACTTGTCCTCAACAAACCATCAAGTCCTTGTAGAATACAGCAGAACTACATGATTTAAAAATCTAGAAGTCTGTAGTGTTGTAAAGACAATTGGACACGGTACTCAGCAATGTGCTTTTTACATACTGTGGTTTACATTCTGATTTCACCCAGATATAAGGATACTCTTATTAGCAGGAAGTAAGCAAATTGAAATCTCATTCACTGTTTGCATGAGTCACTTCAACCTTTGTGGAAGGCAAATTGGAATGTTTCTCAAAATGCTAAGATGCCCATATTTTGACCTAGAAAGTTCACTGGTAGATAACAACCCTAACACAGATAACTACAAAGTGCACTAATATAAAGGTTTATAATAGACATACACGTGCATGCGCAATCACACATGTACAACAAATTCAGCTGAATCATCAAAAAAATTTTAAGTCTATCCATTGGAAGATAATTAATAGTTCATTTGTTTGTATGAAAAATTCACACCAGGCTATAAAGAGAAAGATGAGGAGACTATTTTGTCATAGCATAGAATAACCCTGGCTTGGTCATGAATTTCCTTTATAATAATTTATGTGGGGATTTTGATTAAATACAATATAATTGAAAGAATTTGATTATACTATTACCAATGGGGTTATACCTCTCAGTTCTTTATTCAGAATGATTATCTTATATCTTAATCCACTCTACAAATTAATAATTATGTTTATCAGTATAGAAGCCTCTAAATTTTCAAATTGGTCATTTTTATCTATCTGGGGCAGTTTTTAAAATTTTTAAGAATATTTAAGCATTTTTATCCACTCTATACCAACTTACTTATAATTATCTATTGCTCTAAAACATAATTTATGTCATATTCATGTTTTCATTTACAATTTAAGTTAATTTTGACCATGTTTTGAGGAAATGCTTAATATTTTTTTAACTCAAGGAAGTTATTCTCCGAACATTTTTATTGCTAAATAAGTAACGTTAGATTAAATTTATATGTTTAGCCCAAATTTTGATAGAAAACATCTATGTGAATGGAAGAGGGTTTGAATAGATATTCATCAAGAATTCTACTAATGTCAGGCATGGCGGTACATGCCGATAATCCCAGCACTCGGGAGACTGAGGCAGGAGGATTGTTGCGAGTTCGAGATCAACCTGGGCTCCACGGTGGGTTTGAGGCCAGCCTGAGCTGCATAGGACACCCTGTTTCAAAAAGACAAAAAAAAATTCTACTATTCTGTCATTGACTGACATTGCACTGTGCTATGTTCTTATTTTTGTCTGCTTCTATTTTCTATTTTTTCTATAACAGGTTGCATCTATCGTGAAATTAACAAACAAGGGTAAAAATGGGAGTAATAGTCAGTGAATCAAGAATTTCTGTGGTGTGGAGAGTTTTTTGAATGTATTTCTGACTCTGTATTAGTTAGTTTCTGACCAGGAATGAGGAAATTGCATGCCCTGTTTAGAAATGGCTTAATCATTTTAAAAAATGTTTTTCTTTGATACTTAGCTCTTGGAAACCATTCCATGCAATTACTGATAATTCTACTACATTTCTAAAATGTGCTTTAGTATACTAGAATGTATTTAAATAATATTCTTACATATTGAAAGTTTTTTTTCCAATTGCTCACTATTTCAAACAGGACAGTACAAACTACCCTTGAATTTATTTTTGCACATACGTATGCATTCTTCAAATAAATACCTATATGTTAAAAGCCTTGAGCACCTTCTTTTATATTGGTAGATATTCCCAGCCTCCTTTACAAAGAGCTGTACCAATTTCTACTGCTACCAACAATGCACAGAAAACTCCCATTCGGAGGATAGCCACATCCAGTCATGCAATCACTTTTACTTGCATCTCAACCGGTCTGTTTTGTATCCAATAACTTTTGCCTAGAACCCCTCACTGCTGCTGCGAAGCAACATCCACCCTGCTTTTATCTACTGCACCTATAAATCCTTCCCACACAGATCCTTTACTCTTGAAAAAGTGATGAGTGTAGAAGGTACTCACTACACACTCAGCAGCCATTCAGACCACTTCATTAGGGATTTCTAGTCTAATTTAATATTTAAATATTTTCATCATCAATGCCACCGGAAGAAAAAATAGCAAGTCTTTTCTCACCATAAGTACATTTTGCTTGTATGCATGACACTATAAACTCCCAGTAAGTCTCTCCTGTCTGCCTTGATAACTGATCTATCACCAGTACCTAGCCCATAGTAAGAGCCTAGTAAATATTTACTTAATGAAAAGTGAGTGTTGCTACTTCAGACTAACATGGAATTGATCTCTATCTTGTCAGCACTTACACACTACCATTAAGTGTTGATCGTGCAGTAACCCTTACTCCAAAAACTTGAAAACAGGAAAATGAATTGCTATGTAGATTTAGTAGCAAATCTATCCAGCGGCTTAGAGTAGATTTGGAAAACCAACTGAAAATTAAAAAAAAGAAAATCACTCCCTATCCAGCAGAACCTGGATATTAAGAAGTGGATAGCATTGCCTTATGTAAAAAAAAGTATCATTCAATGTAGAATTAATAATTATTAGAGTTAAAAAAAATATAAGCACCTTGGTAGATAAGGAAAGCACTCATCTGAGTACTAGCTGGGGCAGAGGAAATCCTACCCATTGGACACTGAATATTTCTAGTCCTAATGGCAAGTTATCCCTGGAAGACGCAGGAGGCCTTTCAGCTTTCTGGTTCTTTAGGCAAGCTCATTCCCAAGATGAGGTGGGTGCCGAGACAGCGAGGCCTGGCCCTATTCCATTCACAGCACCAGCACCTCCTCATTCTGATTCCATGCTCACCAGGCAACCTTCCCATTATGACCTGGCTGCCCACGTGCACTGCCTTCAGGAGAGGCACTTCCTGGAGCTGGAGCTGGTCAGTATCTCCTGAATTAATGACCCATGGTGCTCATCGGCTCCCTATCTTGATTTCCTATTGTTGGCTTTTTTAGACAGCCTGAGACAATGCCCCCTGGACCGGCCCATTCCTACACACAGGCTTCAGTGGTAATGTGTGTTGGGGCCTCGATTGGAGACTAGATGCTAGAAAAAGCCAAACTAATTAACTTCTGACCCAACCGATTCCTGTCTAGCTCTGAGTGGTTTTCTAAAAACAAAGAGCCACCACTTTTGGACTAATTTCTCCTTCTTTCTAAATGAACTGAGACACCATTTGTGACTAGTGTGACATAAGCCAAAAAGCATATGAAATGAATTAAACTACTGGTTATTCCTTTTAGAGCTATATTTAGACCTTTACTGTGAAACACGTTTATTTATTTGAATTAATGTTCTTATGTCAAGGGTATCTGTTAGCTAAAGATAAACATATTGTAGTCTTAATTTCACATCTCTAGTGTTTCCATAGGAGTGGAGCATAATCCATCCCTTTCCAACTAACAACAACTGTACTCATGACACAAGTTCCTTCTTTCCCAGGCAAATGTCTCTTCTTCACGTTAGAAACACAAATAAAATGCTTTCTGCTTAGTGGTGTCTCTATTATCCTTCTTTGCACAAAGAACTCACACTTCGCAGTTGCAACAGCATCTTCTGGGGTTGTATTTAAATAAATGAGAATTGCCTGGGACAGGACCTTCAAAGGAAACTAGAGTTCAACTCCTGGGTGTGATTAACTCAGCATTTTTTATAGATGGACTTTCTTCCTTCTATATGCAGTCATCTCAGAGTCAAGCTTGAAGCAATTTCATACACCGATGGCCAAGTAAGTCGGCATGCAAACTCAATCCTAGCCCTGGAAATTTTCATCTTCTAGATTTCATGCATTTCAAATCTGGAGAGTTGACACTGAGTCGTTTCTGGTAGAAGGCATGTATGGCTATAAGGTCTTTCTTCTTTGTTTTTCAGTCAGCTTTTCAACTTAAGAAATCATCATAAATTATTGCAAACCTATTCTTCATGCTTTCTACCCAATAGCACAGGTTTTCTAGGCTTTTCATTTAGTCAGACATATCTCATCAGAAGTACACAGTACATGATTAATAAACACACAGCAGAAATTCAGCAAGGGGATTCACTGAACATAACATCTTAGACTGTGATGTATTCTAATCAAGAATAAAACTGTTCCTTAAAAATAACATTTACCCCAGTGGGGAATGGAGCGTCATTCACCAGCAATGAAGTTTTTGATCTGGATCCCGAAGTTAGCTTTGGAACGGTCCTCACCGCAGCACTACGGGGAAGAGGCTGTAATCGAATTTGAGGCTGCATGTTTCCTGGGGCGGTGTATGGTCGAGGGGCTGTCTAGACAATTAAGGGGGAAAAAATTCCACTTAAATTAGTATCTTGACATATTTCCAGAACCAATTAATAATGCAACAAATTGCCTAGAGTAATTAATGGTGCCTTTTTACAGAACAGATTAAACTATAATTATGTCCTTCCATTATACATACCCTCGTGACCCAAAGTATTTGTTAAAACATATGGTGTTGCAATCCTCTACAGAACTAAATGCCACAATTACACAGCATTCTAGGCAAAGGAGATGTCCTCTATTACAGTCCTGTATTTTTATTCATAATGTAAACTCGCTGACAATCCTTAATTTATACTGCATAGAATGGCTTTGCTCATTAAATGTTAAGTTGAATAATGTTCCCGTTTCAGAGATCTAAAAGGATATTGTAATGGACTCATTTCTGTTTCAATATTTTCAAAATAAATTGTACCTTGTATCCATTAAGCCTCGAGATCGGCGCAGAAGTAAATGCAGACAAGAGGCAAGGAAGATACTCGACTATAACGTATTAGTATTTACTCAACAGATTCTTGGAGATATTAAGAAAAAATGAAAAAAATGTAACTGTCAACTACTTTCCACGTGTCCCAGTAGATCTCCCATACACCTGCCTGGCTCTGCTCTGGGAGGGCCCCTTCAGGAATTTACCAGCGAACCTTAGAATTGCAGCTTGGATTCCACCAAGGAGAACAGGAGGGCCACAACATCGGGCATTTATTCCCCTGGGCTCCTTCCTGTGGGCCGCAATGGGTCAGCCAGGTGCCTTTACCTCAGGCCACTGTTGCTGTCTGGAAGCCTCCTGGCAGTCATGGGTAACACCTACTGGCTGTGGAATCCAACCCCTCCCCTTCCCCTCATCCTGTGCGCTGCAGTTTTGCACTGTGCTGCCCCCCAGCAGGCTTCCCAGCCCTAGTTAGTTTCCCTTAACCCTGCCTGCATCTTTGTAAATAGTTTCTTTATTAAACACTTCCTAATTACTCCATTTGCGTGAGCCATCTGTTTCCTGCTGGGCTCCCGACTGAGCCACTTTCCAATCAAGGAGGCGCTGCAGTGAATACCAAAACGTGACAGCATGGAGCACCACAAGTGCCTTTTGGGGACATCAACAAAATATTGTAAGTTTAGTATAAAGATTAGCAATGTGTCAAAAGTGAGGAAAGAAATGAGGCTTTGGCCCACTTCTATTACAATAAGATAATAGAAAAATTTTCAAGAGTAGGACATGCATATTTAGCTAAGAGGGTATAAGAAGGGCGATATATAAATGATTCATGAAGACAGTATTGCACATCAACTCAAAGTAATAATAAGCAACAGATATTTAATCCTGGAAAAATATGTGTAAAACATTTGCAAATGTTGATAAGGTGGCATGTACTCCCAAATACTAGTCTTGATGTCATTTGAGAAACACATTGTCCACTGTGAAATCTCTGATTTTTAATTCAGTGTTTACTGAATTCCCACCATAGACCTAGTAAGAAGATAAAAAGGAATTAATAGTGAATACAAGAAAATTAGTGTCAAAGGAATCATACAAATACTGCCAAAAAGACAACAAAATACCTGACAACAAAACTCAGAATTAAAGTTCTTAGAATAGAGGAAGCCAATGCAGCCAACAAAACATTCAAGCTTCACAGAAACAGACTTTACCCAAGTGGTTAAACATGTGAAGAAAATGGACAATCAGAGAAGAATGGTAAATTTGAACATCAAAGTACAGCCATTTGTGAGCAAGATATGAGAAAAGTAGCAAAGATAATACCCCTGTTATCGATTTTTCTTTCTTCACTAGTAATAGAATTTTTATCTTGGAATATGGCTGTCATAAATAAGGCTTGGATTTCCCAGAATCCCTTGTGACTGGTGTGGAATGCACGCCTCACTGTTGACCAATGAGATGTGAGAAGTGATACATGAAACTTTTGCTTTATGCCCTATGAGAAGTGTGTCCTTAACTTCTCTTGTCACTTTTTCCCCTCACGTTGGAGTATTCTATGGTGATAAACCATCCCACTGTGTATGGCTGAAGGCAAGACCTTAAATTTGGTAGACGAATAACACAACAGGAATCTGTGTTTTGGCACCAGAAGAGGCCCTTCCATTTAATGATGCTCCACATACAAACCAGCCCAGGTGGATCACTACAGTGGCGCATGATTTAAAGTAACAAGATATAAGCCTATAGGGACCGAAGGGTAAAAGTTCTTAAAATCCTCAAAGAGGAATTAAGCTAGAGGTTTCTGAACAGGGGAATCAGGTCACCCAAGAGAACTGTCTTGAAACCAAAAGCAAACATACCTTGAGACCTCCTCTTTTCACATAATCTAAGTGAATGGAAAATCTCATGTAGGAATTCAAGGAAGCAGGTTACTGCAAACTAGAGCATGATCTATCGGCTGTTACACTCCGAGTTTTACTCCTTTGCATTTGCATACAAATATCATTCATTTAGATGAATGCGGCAGTCAAATGTTTAACTGATTACATTTATTTCTAAAAACAAATCTGCACCATTAACTAACAGCTGTGAGCTACAAACTGTTGTAGTTCACATCAGAAACTACCTTAAATTTGCTATATTTTAAATTGTTTGGAATACATCTTCCTGGAATAAATATCACATGGGGGCTGTGCCGGAATGTGAATTGACACTGTCTACCTGCTGCTTATGCAGCTCAGCTGAGCATTTCTAATTCATAGAAGGCATCAAGGGTGAAATTTCCTAGAATGTACAGAATTAGCGGAAGTGACTTGCCACAGTTTTAATGGCAGCGGTTCAGAGAAAGGGCTGCATGCTCTTGTGAAGACTTGTGAGCAGCCACACAGAGGATGCATCAGCTGCTTCCTTTATTCACTCGAGAATTTCTTTTGATGGCAGTATCATCTATCTTCATCTCACTTGGGGTCAGGAGTGACATTTAAAGGATATGGATACAAGTTAAGAAAGCAAAGAGGGGTTTTCTGTAAAACGGAAATACAGCTCTAAGACCATAAAAGCTACCCCTTCAAGTGCAAGAGCACCACAGGGGTGACCAAACGAAGCTCCTGACTTATCACACAGGAAGACTTGTGCAGCGCTAGTGTCAATGTCTCCTGTAATTTTTAAATTACTTTCTCACTCCTTCCACATTAAGATCTCCTGGATGTATCATAAACTATTTATTGAGGGTATTCAGCTGGAAAATTGAAAAGAAAGCTTTTAAAGAGTTTTTCCTCTCTGAAACAGGTGGTAAGACAGAAAGCAGTACTTAATTGTTTCCTCTTATTTCACCTGGGTTAAGCATTTGAGAATCCAGTGAACTGCTAGCCAATAAAAGAATTATTTGTTTATTCATACATATAAATCAAACCCAAAAATAGAGTAGCAACAAAGGAAGGATGGTTGCTTTTCTGCACTTCAGCTGTTCATCAGGAAGTATCAAAATATATTTCCCATTGAGAAATGTCAAAGCATAACACTAGACATGATGAATCTGCTTCAACATCCTGTGAAAAGCACTGTGATTGTTCTATAACTATTATGCAACACACTAAAGGGTCCATGTAAACAAGGAAATATATTAGATTACACAAACCAAGAATAAGGATGTAACCAGGAAATTGAGCCATAACTTAAACACTAGCCTCCAGGAAATGTTTAACCAATCTCTGCCTGTAACTATTATTTCAAGCACCTTACCCTCTTTTGGGTAAATAGCACCTACCTCTAATTATAGATGAATAAAATGAGAGTAACAACCAGTCTCCAACGTCTTCAAATACAATTTCCATACATTTCATTATACTTTTAATAAAAGAAGTCCAAACTTCGGTATCTACCCAACATGTAATATGTTACCGAGGGATTTGCAGAGATGCAATGGTAGTAGAGTGAAGATGAACAACACTGAGTGGTTAAAAATATAGAACATGTATGAAAAAACTCATGGTCCAACTTTCCTGCACTATAGGAGACTAAAGAAACAAATAGCCATTGCAGTAGCCATCCTGAGATCACATGGTTTAGGACAGGGGTGGCACAGCTCTGACCAGAGTGCCACAGTAGCCTGTTCGTATCACTGAAAGCTCTACAAGGTTCACCATCACTGCTTCAGGGTTTCAAATGTCACATGAGAAAATCTGCACATCTCTTTAGGTAATACAGGCACAGGGAAGGTTGCAGGTCATGCAAATGGTAATAAGTAATCTGCACCTCAAGAAAAGTAATCTAATAATAGCAAGAAGAAATGGATTTGGCAGGAGAGATTTTGATCAGAGAGGGGACATTCAGTAGGGAAAGTTGAACAGATGTAAGTCTATAGCTTTTCTTCATTCTTAAGAGTACGTTTTCATTCAGCAGGATTCACACAATTATGCAGGCGTGCTCCCAGAGAGCATTATTTCTGAGATTAGTAGAAAGTCATAAATTAATTGGTGAGGACTTGTGATACAACTCACCAGTGTTAATGGACTGGAATGTCCTTCATTAACCAGAATATTATGACCACGGTGTGTCTTTGGGCCAGTGGGTGGGTGAGGCGACAGGACTGCTATGCTATTTTCAACAGAATGTCTTGTGTACTCCCCCTGAAATTGAAAAGAGAATTGGTGGGTAGACGCATGCAGTCATTCGTCATCCAGGCTGGGTCAGAACACAGAACAGGTTCAAGATTGACTATGAGGCCAAAGACATCCATTACCATTCCTTCAAAGATTCTACTCTGGAGGCCTACGCTGGCAATTAGAAAAGGTTTCCACAGTCATCAGGGAGCTGCATGTGGTGGTGGTGAAAGGCAGGAAAGTGAATCTGCTTAACTGTACAGGGAGACAGCTACCAAAACAGTGTTTCTCCATTTTAGCAACAGAGTTGATGCATCTGCTTTAAACTGGTCACTATCAAAAAACACAAGGCTGTCCACTCGTCTGATCAGTAGAGACTATCAGAAAGTAGCACTTTTCTATTTCAGAAAAAGTTTAATAATGCTACTGGGGCCAGGGAGATGGCTCAGTAGAATAAGCGCTTCCCTGGCAAGCTCAAGGGTCTGAGTTCAATCCCTGGTTCTGCCAAAAAAAAAAAAAAAAGATATAAGAAAAAGAATAGTGCTACTAAGGAAAGAAGATTGCATATGAAATTAAAGTGACCTGAAATATTTTTTTTTTTTTTGCCAACTGCAATTATGTGAGAAAATGATAATGAATAAAAATCCTACAGGGAAGAACTCGACCACTACGGCGAGTGTCTGCCAAGTCCTGTGTCCACAGGTTTCTGTGCCTGGCCACCTGGAAAGGAGAGAAAACTAGAGATACACAGTAACCTGGCTTTAAATGTTGCAACTCACTCTTTACATCTATTAACTCTTTTCACCTATCAACATCTCAGCAGATAAATGATAGCACCCGTAGCACAGTCCCTGATATAGGACAACATCAGCAAAGCTGAATTTATCTTAAATCTTTACAGCTCAATTCTTCTGATCTTTAAAAGAACACCGAGCTATCTTCAGTCACTTACCAACATTTTTGTAATGCGATTCTCTTTTGACCCTGATGAAACTGATTTGAGTCCATCGGGCAAAAGGAAAAAATTCGTTTTAAATGGCAAGTTATTCTGCAGAAGCTTTACAAATGCTCTTCGGTTTGTGAAGCATGTCTTAGGTACTACATCTGTAATGCTACACTGAAAATTAAAGCAATATTTGATTTGAATGGCTCCAGAAATTGAATAAAACTGACAGACTAACCTATAATCTTTCAAATATGCTTAATTGGATCTCTCATCATTTGATTCAAATTTATATATCTCATAAGTTCACTTTAAAGCAGGCATATCAAGTACAAAAGTAAGTACAAAACATGTTAAATCTTATTTACTTTCTTTTTCTATAGAGGATCATTCCCACCATAATTTTCGCAGGTGACAGTCATATGAAAACATGTCATTGTATAATTCTCACAGTACTCTCCTTGTCACTACATTTGGAACAGTACTACCTATTTATACTCAGCCAGGCAAAAATCCTTGGGGCTCTTTCACAAAAAAAAGTACTGAAGCAAATTTTTGATTTTTTTTTTGTCTTAGAAAGATTCTTACCTTACTAAATTTTTTCATACAGCTTCTATTTTGTTGTGGTCATTTATAATGAAGACTGACAAAATTAGACTCAATAGAACCATTCTTTGACCTCAACTGTGTGTTACTCAAATGTAAGGAACCTTAGGAAACTTCAGTCACATGACCCTGGTTTTTGCAATCACAGAATAATATTATGAATAAATGAGAGTACATATGCCTTACCTTGGCTCTCTGGATCCGCTCCCTCCTAACTAATGTCTCCAGTTTCCTTTTAATTTCAAGCTGATGGTAACGCTAAGCATATAGGAAAGAATGGAGGAGAGAATCCTATTAATAAGAGTAAGAAAAACATTTAAGAGGAAAAGAATCGCAATAGCCAACTAACCTCTCAATTATCCCTCTTGTCATTGAGATGGAGAAGAACCACCTGCCTAAGTGTGCGGGTGGGAATATAAATCGGTACCACTCTTCAAAAAGCCAATTACAAATATATATATCGGGCATCTGAAGTAGTCATGCCCTTTAAGCAGTACGTTTCGCTCCTATGTCTTGGGGGAAAGCTGAGTAATAATTTGTGTATGTTTTATACACAAGAATGCTATCAGAAAACAATACTTTTTCTTTTCTCCAAACAAATAAGCAGAAGTAAAATAAGTTTTGGAGAGAATGGTTAAATTTTTTGGCATATCCTATAAGGAAGTAGGACACAACCACTGAAATGGGAATTACAAGAATTTTGTTCTTAAAAATGGAAAACGCATGTAATGTAAGAAAAAGGAGATGTCAAAACTGTGTAGAAATACAATTTAATTGATGAAAAACTTATCATGTAACTGTCTTGTGCAAGAAGTTATTTGCATATGATATGATGGCATTTTTCATGTACTTATTGGTCATTTATACTTCGTCCTTCAAGAACTGTCTCTTCAGTTCATTTGCACATTTTTGATTAGGTCATTTAGGGGTTTTTAAAATATAATCTTCATATCAGTTCTCTATCAAAATAATGGTTGGGAAAATATTTTCCCCCCAATCTGAAGGGTATTTCTTCATTCTGCTGATTGTTTCTTTTGCTGTGAAGTTTTTAGTTTGTTGTAATTCCATTTGTTGGTTCTTCATATTATTTCTTGTGCTATTGGAATTCCACTCAGGAGTCTCTGTCTGTCCCTGTGGCGTCCTGGGACCCCCTGGTCTTAACCACCAAGAAGTCTCTTCTGCAAACAGAGACACTGAAGCAGAGCATCAGAAATTTGCCCAAGGTCATGCATTCGATCAGCTAAGACCTGTAATCTGAATCTTGCTCTATCTGACATTAACTTCCTGTTTTTTGTTTCTGAGTTTTTGTGAAATCATGTCCTTCTCATAACATAACATGATTTTCTTAATGCATAAACATGAAAAAAATGAAACTAAAAAAATGTAGGAGGACAGTCATGTCTGAGAATAGGAACTATCTGTGATTATTTTCCTTTGTTATATGTCCTTTGTGTTTTCCAAAGGTGCTGTCACATATTGTATGTATGTATTTATTTATTTATTTATTTATTTATTTATTTATTTTGCAGAACCAGGAATTGAACTCATGCCCTTGCGCTTGCCAGGCAAGTGCTTATTCAACTGAGCTATCTCCCCAGCCCTCCATATTTTTATAATTTAAAGTTAAAACAGAGTTTTTAAAAAACATCTGCTTACAATTCCAATTGAAGCCATTGAGATGGATGTGAGAGCATTTGCTTTTAATCTTGAGTCATTTCTACGGTCTTGGGCACCCTGCAGACCCAGTCCTCCACCACCTGAGTATCCTCAAGACTCTTAGCACTTCCCTTTCCTTTCCTCCTTTCTTTGATCTTTCACCCACTAATTACCAAACTTCATTACATTTGCTGTCAATCACTTTGAATCTTCCTCTTACTTCCAGCGCTCCAGATAGCCCGGTCCTCTTCAGCACCACGGACAGTACCTTCTCCAAGGTCACCCATGTCCTGTTCTGGGTTAAACCTCATAGCTCCTTTTCATGGAACCCACCTTCTTTAAGTGTTCTGTAAGCGCCTCCTGGCCTTTGGGACACCATCCTCCCAGATGTGTTTTCCTACTTGAAGGCCCTTTCCTGTCTTGGTGGGGTTCTTATGCCCTGAAAGTACAA